GGGTCGTCAAATACATAAAGCGCTACTACTACTACTACTACTACTACTACTATTAGCAGTAGTAGTAGTAGTAGTACTACTACTACTGCTACTGCTACTGCTACTGCTACTGCTACTACTACTACTACTACTATTCCCCCTTCTGTGTATTCTTGCTAATTTACAGTATTATGGCCATCGAATTTTTTCTTGGTGCTTATCAAATTATTTTCTGATATCGCGCGCAAGTATTCATTTTTTCTTGATTTTTAAGGTCATTTTTTGGTGCTTATCATTTTATTCTTGATGGGTCACCCTGAGCAAAACCCTGAAAATCGTAGGTTTCCTTCAAGAAAGACCGAGCAAAAGATGCAATGCCCTGAAAACAAATGGCCTTGCTGTGTTCAGGTTCAGGGTGGGTGGCTACAGCTCTCAAAACCTGCTGCTTTTTCATCGCAGACATCTACGGCGCCTGCGCTTCATCTCAGCGTACTCTAGTCAGGCGGTTGAATCCTGAATGCCTGGAATGATTGTCCTCTGGTCGAACTACGTCGCAACATCCAATAAACGTCCTTGTCAACCGTGATGCTTCTTGACAAGAAGACTGAACATCTTGTGCAACAACAGGATCCCACCTGCCAAATGCTACAAAACAGCATGCATGAAGGTTTTCTTCCTGTGGGAAAGGTCATGGGCTCCTACAACAACATGAAAAGTTAGAAGTTCTGTCCGATGGAATTTTAAGAGATCTGACCAAGCCTGTCATAATGTATCTGTGGCCGAACTTCGACCCACGGGCTCTCACTGGTCATTTTTGTGATTTGTAAGGATTTGGACAAGCTCTTCAAGCTGTTGAGCACGAGGACTTTGCATGCCGCTGTGCTCATCTTTGGCTGCGGAATTAAATTCGGCTTCCACAGGAAGCCTGGTGAGCCACCCAAAGTCATTGCTAGCGAGCTGAGTCGTTCGCAGGGTCCTTGGCGCTTCTAGTGTGATGGGTTGAGACAGATTGAGAAACGACTTTTTGCCATTGCAAAAGTCAGGCCAGATGTTCAGGTACAAGATGTCTAGTTGCAGGAAGGGGTTTTGACTCTCTTGAACATAGCATTCTGCATGCTTGCCAAGGCGGGTTCTAGCGCGGGATGTTGTCATCGGCTTTGCCAAAGAGATGCTCGCTTTGATATAAAACATGTCTGAGACATTGAACTGCAAGTGGCAGAGCTTTGTTGCGCATGCTCGTCGTACTCATGGTAGATACCCCCGAAGTCGACAGGATCCTGACATGCTACGAAATCGGAAAGGACAATACGACCATTTTTTCAAAGGTGTCCTTTTTGGAGGCCTTTGATGAACGTATGCTGCTGGTCCTGGGGTCCTGTGGTCCTCTCGTATCATCGTTCTCTATACTGCTATTGATATGTCATTCTGGGGGTGACGTGTTTGTTAGTGTGGCTTGTTATTGCCGTTGCCTTCATCACTTTGGAGCAGAATTACTTACTTGGTCCAATAGCTGGTACTACCTCGGCATGATCAACATAGAAAAAAAATAGCTGGTATTACGCTGGTGCAATTTTGCTTTACCGTGGTTGCTATTTGAAGTTTGTTGGTCGGAATTCCCTGCCCTGTCATATGATTGTTATGGCTAGCTCTGTTGTTGTTCTTATTTCTCGTCATTGCAAATTTCGTTTTTACTGTTTCACCTTTACAGCCACTCCTATGAGAAGACAGCTGCTGCTGCTACTAATGCCAGAGTATCACGTTTGCCTTTGCTACTGCTACTCATAGTCTGACTGTTTTTGTGTCGTCGGGCAAGTGCGGCTGTTGAGAGCTAGGCCATTACTTCTGTTTATGCTCCTTGAGCATACTCTTTTCAATTTGTCACGCCATGATTGCCATTCCTGACTAAGCCTACTAATTACACTGGCTAGTGCTGTTTGAAACCTTTGCGCTGTTGTTGAAACCACCATCTAGACTGTGTCTAAACTGTGTATAGTTGCATTGAAACGCAGTATGGAGTTCTTTGTGTTTGACCCATGGGCTAGCTGCCCCTTCCCGCACCACCCCTTTGCCTGAAAATCCTGCAAAATGCTAGGTAAGTTATTCCTCCAACTAGGTTCATTCGGTTGTTGTAATTGTAGGCCCTCACTCCCCAGCATTGGTATTAGTAAAGTTTTTACGAATGCTAGTGCTACTACTGTGATCAGGATTTCTCTCATTCGTGCTACTCCTGTTCCGAGCGTCAGTATTGTTGGCTGCTGAGCCTTGCTGCATTTGGAGACGATCGATTCTCTACGGTTCACCTTGGGAAAGTCCGAGGTACGTGGTAACTAAGTTGGACAACTGAGATGGCTGGAGCTTCGATTGACAATGGAGACTCCAAAGAGCTCCTAAAGGTTTTGTTAGGGCTTGATGATATCCAGAGGAAATGCCGAGATTTCGGCCAGAGCACTCCTGCATGATGTGTCTTGCAGCTTCTTGATTCTCCGAGTAGCTCCGTTGGCTGTTTTTTTGTGAGTTTTTGGAGCCTCCCCAGCCCCTTCTCTAGATCGACGTTACAAAACAGGGATCAACCAAATGTAAAAGAGGACAGGTTAGAAGACAATCCGGAGTCAAGTACATGGATCTGACATGCTTTTTTCCGGGTGAAGGTCGGTTGGGCACGACTGGCTGTGATGGGCTCTGGTTTACAAAGCTTTGGAACTGTAGCTACTTCATTCGCAGGGCCAGCGATTGGACAGTGTCCCTGTCTGAGATTTGGTGCTATGCATGAGCACATCCCAAGTTTGAGCTTCTCCTGCCAATGTTAAGATCTCCAAAATTCCTTGGCTTCAAGAGTTTCTCAAGTTGCAACAATGACATGTTCGGGAACACCTCCCCAAAGTCGGCATTGCACAGCGTATCTGCCATGGGATTGCAAGTCCTGTCCAAAAGAGTGTCCAAAATGGGAAGGGTTCCGGACAGTTGAGGATGCGTGAGGCTGCGCCCGAAAAGACCTCAGCATATTCGATGGCAAATGATGTGTTCAAGGTCTTATCGTATAGCAAAAAAGAAGCCTTGTCGCAGACAGGTAGTTTGTCCGTGTAACCAAGACATGCTCAGGAGGCATCCCAAAGAGTGAGGGCCTCAGCGACAGGGAAGAGGATTGAAGAGGTGAAGCTCTTCCCAGCAATAACGCACATGCGAGTTGTGCACCTTTTCGAGCCTCAGCAGCCGGCAGGGTCCTTTTCGACTTCGAGGCTCGAGAGCATGGCACTCCCACACGACACAGTTCTCCTGCACGGTCCGCAATCTTTGTTCCGCAGCTAGTCAGGTCCTTGTCGCCTTTCGTGAAGTTTGAGACGAAAGATTGCCTGGTGCTTCCGAACCTTTGCCAGGAATTCAAGTCAATAGCGTGGCCGAAGCTCAAAGAGCGTTGGGTGTTCGGCCCAGTTTTTTTGCGGCTGGGACTGCCAGCTTGCGCTTCGTCGCATGCTTGGTGAGAGCTGCTACATACCGTGGAGTGCTTTCTAAGCAGTGTCTTGGTGATATCCAGCTTGTCCAGCTCCAAGATGTGTCAGCCTTACCTTTCCAATGGCACTGGACTATTTCATTACCCATTTTCTGTTCTGCTTGCCCCAATGCCCACCCAGATGACGCAAGATAGCTTCAAAAAGCAGAAGACGGTGGAGGACGTCAGAAACAGTTTTTTGCATGTGAGTTTGTTTGCAAGGCTAGTTGTACTAGCAAATCTGCCGGTCTATCATCCTCCTTGACCATGACTCTTGATATATGCTCTACAAGCTGTGGCCAGCACGGCCGAGTGAGGCTGTTTTGCTTACGCGATATCCATCACACTGCCAGGAAAAAGACACGCCGCTCCGAGGCAGGGCTTCGCCCTGTCTTAGGTAGATTCTAAAACTTGTACCACTTCTGTGCTAGTTATCAACCTGTTGGAGCGTTTTGTTGTGTCCTGCTAGTCCGCATCACGCGCCAGAACGACTCTGATCAAGGCTGGCCGGTACCTACCAAACGTAAAAAGGTCTCTCATTACCTCAGCACCTCCAACCCAAAATTGTGTTAGCACCGACTGGGGTGTCTCGGATTAGCGGATCACAATCCTGACACAGAGACCTTGACTCGGCCTGTGGTGTGTGCAATGGCGGGGAGGGGGTTGTTTGATTCAGTTCGCATGAGGGAGTTCAGGTCCAAATTTCCGGCCCTGGCCGGCTCTGACTTGCAGACTTTTCGCACAGGTGAGGGTGATTTGATTCGCAATTGCAATGCGTCGCGGGGTGGTGCTTGTCCCAAATTTCTGGGCCTGAAGTCAGAGCTGTCGAATCTTTATAGAAGACCCTTGTAGCTGCAGGTTGACGGTGGAAGCGCAGCTGCTGCGATCTTGGGAGACAAGATGTATGATATATGACTTGACCGCACAAGCCTGCTCCGGGAGCAGATCTTTCTTCAGTGAATTTGCATTTGCCGAAGCCGGCTCAAATGAAAGGTTGAATGCAGATTCCCATGGTCCTTGTCAGTGTAGGCATTTGTTCACACGACACCCAGCAGAGCTTCGCTGCTGTCCTGGAGTTCTTAGTCCTTTGAAAGTTTTTAGTTTGCCACCCGTTCAGCAGCAGCACACTGCTGCCAGTTCCCTAAGCACCCGCCAGCCACAACACCCGAAGCCAAGTCTCCACAGCAAAAAACGTTTCCGTAGCATTGCTTATGGACATCGGCGTCTCGGTGGACATTGGCCATGTGGCGGGGGCTCAGGCTGGACACCAAATCTGGCGAAGGATTCGCATCTACGTAGCTCACCGCAGGGGTTCCTCACATGATGAAAACGTGCAGATATTTTTGTGTTAGGTTTTCTTTTCTTTTTCCCGTGTCCTGTTTTCCAGGGTGCAGCATCAAGAAGCAACTCAACCGGAAAGCAAGTAATCAATCAATCCAGCAAGTCAAGCAAGCCAGCAATCAAGCAAGAAGCCGCAAAAAAGCTAGCGTAAATACGAACCACTGCTCTCATTACCACTGGGGCTACTGTTGCTATTTTTACTCCTTCCATCACCCCAATCCCCCTGCGATTGTCCAAAAACACAAAAGTCCCACACAACTCTCAGCAGCGTCTCAGCAGCTTCTCAGCAGCTTTTCAGCTGCTCTCATCTTCGTCCATGTTTTGCAAGTTGGGGGGATTTGCCCCCACCAACCTCACTGCTGCTTTTTCAACAAATACCGCGTCTCACACATTTCATGAGTACTTACCTAAGAAGCTGCATCTTCTCGTCTTGATGTTATGAAACAAGAGAATCACATGGTCTAACAAGCTACATTCTCACGTTCGTCCATGTTTAGCAGATTGGGGGCTTTGTGTGCCCCCGAACTCCCCCGCCATACCTTAAGACAAGCATAACGTTTGTTCAAGAATCATGAACAACTTAGCTAAGAAGCCCGCTGTTCTGATCTTCTTTCATGTTTTGCAAATGGGGGGGTTGCGCCGGCCACCAACAAAACGCCCAAACAGCAGGGGAAAAATCGCAGACCATTTGTTTATGTGGGCCAGCTGGGGTTCCTTATGCAGGGCCTTTACAGATTATTTTTTTGTAGGGAGCTTGCAAAGACCGATGCTGTTACTGATGCCCGCATTCTTACGTTTACCATTACTGCTACTGTTTTCATCATGATTCTTTTACCAGCGCCATTGCTAGCATTGTTATTGTTTCTTTTTTTGTTTTCTACTGATCACCATTTCTAGCATCACTACTACGACAATTTATATTGATACCGCGACGGCTGTTCCTACTACTACATTACACCACGTTTGTTGCGATTACTATTGCCAGAAATGCTACAGTCAATCACTCATACTATTCTTACTACAACTGCGGCGACGACCACGACTCTACCTCTACTACTACTACTACTGCTGCTACTATTACTGCTGCTGCTACTACTACTACTACTACCACCACCACCACCACCACTACTACTACTACTACTACTACTACTAGGTACCCTGCGGGGAAAACATCCCAAAAAGCAGAAATACCGTGATACCTGGTATCATAAGTTTTCTCACTGGGCACATGCCAATGATGATGAACCCAAATAGGGACAGTAATACCATGATGATAGTGACAGTATAACCAGAACAAAAGCATCATGATACTCATACGTGAGGAGACGCACCATAGCACAGCAATGATAATAACGTGATGATGACCGCAACAGCAGACTCTTGTTCGTTGCGAGGCAGCCGCAAGTGTTCTGGGGTGCGGGCGCTTGTGGTTCAGCATGTTTTTGAAAGTTTCCCTGCAGATTCAGGTTTCACTCTTGGCCTGAAAAAAGGCCTGCGACGAAATCTTGCATCGCCTCGTTTTTGGACCCCGCGACAGTGTCCAAAAACGAGGCGATACAAGATTTCACCGGCTTCCAAATTCACTGTGCTTGCCAGCCCTTTCAGGGCCTCAAGCATGTGCGAGTCGCGTTTGGGGGGCGTTTTATCCCCGCCGGGTGACAACTACTACTATTACTACTACTACTACTACTACTGCTGATGCTACTAGTACTACCAGTTGTACTACTAGTACTAGTACTGGTACTGGTACTACTACTACTACTACTACTGCTGCTACTACTACTACTACTACTGCTACCACTACTACCACTGCGTTCCGTTGCCAGTATTCTTCTCCTTATGATTCTGCATAACTAGCTTTTTCCATAATGATTGTATTGCCAGCAGCAGTACCGCCGCTGCTACTTTTACTGTTGTTTTAACTGAATCATTATCATCACTGTTATTGCTATTACGATTCTTGCTCCTGCTGCGATGACTATTACTCTTACTTTTACTTTGGCTCTTACCATTTCCATTCCTGTTTTTCGTCTCTTGATTTTTATGATTACATTTCACCTACCGCCTTTGTTTTGTTACTATGACCTGTAATGCTGCTGTTATTGCTTTAGTTTTGTTATGGTTGTTATCACCTTCATTACAGTAGTACGGTTACTCGTACAATTACAGTTAATAAATGATCCTGGCTCTTATTACTATTATTGCACTGCTGCTATTACAACTACTACAAACTTATTTTTCAGTAGTAACAGGGCGAGGAAAACAATTCTTGTTACTTTCATCATTCCTATCACGATTCCTGAGCCTTCTACTGCTCTTGAGTAGTAAAAGCACTAGGAATCGGAGAAAAAAAACAAACAAACACACCAGCAACCAAATAAACGGAAACACACTCCGGGCAAAAACCGGTGTGATTTGATTTGATGCAGAGGGTGCGTGGATTTTTTATTGGTGCGAGATACTGCTGGCTCCGCTTTCTAACTCTCACATCGTTCAGAGAATTAGTCAGATGGCAGCCTACACGGTTGCCCTCGCTGACCATCAGCTACCATCAGCTTTGTGAATCCTGACTGCTTGAGGTGTGGTCAGCTCATGTTAGCTCTTGCAGGACCAGCGACTGGCTAGTTCTAGGCCTTTCAATCTGTTCGGAACCATCACATGCAAAGCCCTTCAGCAACGCTTCAAACCATCCTCACCCCGAGTGCTGGGTGCGCAGGCACACCACAAGCCTGATGCCCTGTGCACAGCTCTTCGCTAGGCAGCGCCGCCGCTGGATCTCCGTCGCTTGCTGAAGCGCAGAGCTCCTCGTTGGAGGTTTGCATGTTCGAGGATTGTTGCAATGGTCTCCAACTGTGCAAGCAGTGTGGCATTGCCCACAAGCACCAGAAATCAATCAAGAACAACATCCGTTCATGCGTATCTTTGACTGAAAAGATCCACGAGGTTTCTGTCGCAGCATGCAGGCAACTGTCAAACAGTAGCCCGTAGCTGGCACCTTTTGAACATAGATTTTTACCAGGTTCCTATTCCAGATCTTCTGGCCGCCGCTTAGAAATCATTTAGTAGGAGCTTGCGGGTTCTGCGTGAATGCCTGAATTTGTACGCGAGCTTTACTCTTGCCTGTGCCATCTTTGCTCAGGTAGCAGACTCGAGATGCTTGTTCTGCGCTTCGCGGCAGCTCCGCGCCGTATTATCTGCATGTGTGAGTATTCGTTTGAAGTTCGACGCTTGGCAGGGGGAAATTTCTTTGGCACTTCAGTTCTCTGATTTGAAGCAGCCAGGTCGCTAGTTTACCACCTGCCATGGGCTGATTCGGAGGCAACATGTGCAGGCCAGTGGACCATTCACAAAGAGGTACGAAATTGAGCAACTCAAATGCAGAAGCTGTCCCACATGCTATGAAGCGACGGCGCAGTATGTGTCTGAGGAAGTAGGCGAGCCAGATGCGAATGCTGGCATGGCCTCTGTAGCGCAACGAAAGGTGCAAAGTTTCTTGGCAGGGAAGATGCGGGGGATGTTTGATGCAAAAAAGTAATTCTTACTGTTTCAGCCTCAGCATGGATGGCACTCAGATCTTGGTCGACCTGATAGGGAAAAGAGGTAGTGTAGAAATGTGGAAGGACCTTTTATGATTGCTTGGCTGCATGAGAGCTCAAACAGGATTTGGCTCAATCCCTCCATGTCAATCTGTGCGACAAGTCGTTGTGTGCTTCGGGCGCTGACGCGCGCCAACCTGTACACCAAGGATCACGAATTAGGGTGCTCCAGGCAGGCTTTTGTGTCGGAGGGCTTGAAGTGAAACCCCAGACGTCCTTTCATTTCTGAAATTTCCAGGCCCCAGTGAGTGGGCCGTTGCCCATCTACTGCCGGTGCCCTCTGCGCCCCTTCCCTTGCACGTGATCAAGTCTTGCTTGCTCACCATCGTGTAAGACCCAGCTCCTGACTCATGGCCAGAGGTGCCACGCCTTTACAGAAAGTGCCGCTCTTCCGGCTCCTCCTCAAGATCCTTGGCGAACATCAGCTGGCCTGCATGTAAACAAGACTCGGGCAGATTCATTGTTCTTTGCCATACAGATGCGCTGTGCCGCGACAGAGCTCAGATGAGGCTTGCGCCTATGATCAAGTGGGATGAGTGCGACAAGGTCCCAGGGGCCAAGGGTTGCTGAGCTGTGCCTTGTCCAAGATGTCATAAGTGGTGCCATGGCAGATTCAGTGCACCTGCCACGCGGCAAACCTTGACTTTCTGGACTTCCCTTTGCGCAAGTGCGTTACAAAGCTACGCGGCTGCTGCCTGGCTCAGCAAAGTCGAAGGCTTCAAAACACTGCAGTTTTTGGCACGTGTTTTTCAGAACTGTATGTGTCATAGGCAAGCTTGATGCGAGGCATGCCCTGGATACTCCTTGAAAGAGCCGAGCAGCTGCCTGATGCCATTTGCCAGCACTGTACTTGGCTGTGAGCTTGGCTGCCTTCTGAAGCAACCGCCTTCAACAGGGGTGCGCGTGGGGAGGGACTTCCACGACCCCCATAAATTATGGATGTCATCATGGACATCAACCAAGCACGATTCGGGTAGAAACGGCGGTTAAATGATGGTCATGACGCAGGTTCGATTCAGCTATACATTATTCGCTAGTGCCCAAAGCCCTAATTTTCATGATCTCACGCACTAAACCGCAAACCCTGAACCCTAAAACCCTAAAAGGGTACTGACCGGGACATTCGTTGCCCCTGCACTGCTGCGCGATGCGCGTGTCTAAAACCCTACAAGCCTTGAGCCCAAAGCGCCAAATCCTAACGTCGATGCTGCGCAAGAGCAAGTTTGATGTGCGTCCTGAGCGCTGGACCCAGCAAGCTGTTGATGCTATGCAAGAGCAAGTTCGATGCTAGGCTCCTCAACTGTCGATGCTATGCCAGCACAAGTTCGATGCCATGCCAGAGCAAGAGCAAGTTCAATGGCCTAAGCAATCGACCCTGCAAGCTGTCGGTGCTGCGCGAGAGCAAGTTTGATGTGCGTCCTGAGCGCAGGACCCAGCAAGCCGTTGATGCTATGCGAGAGCAAGTGTCTGTAATTAGAGGGCGGTTGACGTACCGCTAGCCCGGGCGCTGGCTGAGTCTTCAGGCCTCAATTTGAGAAGCTGATTGTTGTAGATGATTATAGACAGATCTTCTTTTTGTGACCCGGCTGCATCGGACAGCGCGCAGTCAGTGTCCGGTGCAGGAGGCGGTAGAGTTCTCCCTAAGCTGTCTCCATCACGGGATGCTGTAGTCGGGCCCAGATTTCCACCTTGCGATGCTGTATGGCCATGCAAGCGGCAAAACCCTAAACCCTAAACCCTAAACCCTAAACCGTTACCTTCTCTTCCACCTCAGGCATCGTCTCTTTGGCCTCATGTAGGGCTGAGTGTAGACCTCTGGCAAACTTATGATCC